ATCCAATTGCTAGCCATTTCTTGCTCTACCTCAAGTTTGGTGTTGAAATTCTTTCTTTCCAGCTCCCATTTTCCTTTTTCAATATTGGACTCTTCAATCTTTTGGCCTCTGACTTCAAGTTCGGCAATCAGATGGTTCATTTCAGATTCAAATCCCTTGAACATGATATTTTTTTCACCTTCAAATTTATCAAAGATGTCATTCTTCATCTCTTCTAAATCTTTGGCTCGATCCCTTTCTCTTTGCATTTCATTCATGATCTCGCGGTGTTCAGCTTTGTGTTTTATAATTCGCTCTCTTCTGTCAACCTCAAAATCTTCCATTTTTTGCTTTCCTTTCTCAAGGCTTTTGAGTAGACGGCTATTCTTTCCTTTCAAATCTTCAACTCGACTTTTCTCGATGTTCAATTCTCTGGTCATTTGTACTGTTGATCGGCTTGGTCCTAATACTTTCCGGGATTTATATAACTTCTGGTAATTTTTCTTTAATGCTCTGAATTCACCATCAACTTTTTCTTTGTTTTCTCTCAACATTGCACATTGTGATGAATGAAAGTCAATGTCAACACCCAACATAGCTTTATCTTGTCTCATTTGCTCTAATTCTCTTGACCAGCCTTCTCTTTCTGCTTTAAACTTAGCTCTCAGGATTTCAATCTCTGATGGAACCACCTTAATGCGATCTTCCATAGAGATATCCTCAGTTTGGTCTGGTAGAGGAAAATTTTCATTTTTCCTGACAGATCTCCATTCTTCATAATCAGGAGTTAACATTTCTTTTGCTGCTTTAGCTCGGATACAAAAAGTTGTTTTCCAAGCCGTAAAGGCTTCCATAATATTTCTTTTATAATTTTTGCTGTGGAATGCGAACTCAGATGAATGTAATCCAGCAGTGACAGGTACAAATTGACGACCTTCATACTGTCTTATGACCAGAAGTGGTGCATATCCAATTCCTCCCCACAATCCGAGCAGCATTATCCAGTTGTAATCACCACATTTGTAAAAGAATTCCCTTTGGATTTGCCACGGGGCTCGCCAAATAATGTCATTGCTTTGCAGATTTTGAAAGGCATTAATCCACATATCTTTCTTAATTTCTTTCGGCCATTCTTGCTCCAGAAATTCTTTTAATGGTGAGTAATCCGTATTAAAGCGCCGGTATGAAACCTTTTCTGTCCTCCAGAAATGGCTACGGATCCAAACATATAACAACTGGGTACACCCTGAGAATCGTCCACCTTCTAGCTTTCTACAAGCATTTAATGATCTGAAAGTCTCTGCTAGAATTGCAGAAGCATGATTAATCTTTTTTAGTAGCTGCTCAAACAAATCTACTACTGCAGCTTCAATATATCCCAATACTTTTGGGAAGATGACCATACCATACATACCCAGAGCAAATAGATCGAATCGTACTTTAGTGTCTGGATGACTCTGAATAAGTTCTTTAATGTTAGTCCAAGCAATGCCTTCGCTTTCGCCTTTTTGTTTTGTACGGGATGCCACCCATTCTTCTCGTACTCCGGCAATCTTTGCTAATTTAACTCGAAAGGGTTGAGTTTTAATTGACTTTGAATAAATTCGATTTTCCAAAGCCCCTTCTATATGTAGCAAAGTTGTGTACTCTTCAATAGTAGGGACCAAGTCCTCCTTATTGAGAGTGAAGCAATTGTACCCTGGATTCCAGAATTGAATTAGGGCTCGAAGTAAGTCATCATCAACTTCGACATAGAGCAAATATGGGATGTCTCCGTAAGTCTGATAAAACTGCAACTTTTTGTTTGAGTCCCAACTTTCCCAAATGCTTCGCAAATCTTGCATGTCATTTCTTTTTAGCGAAACTGGAGCATAACTGGCCAAGTCCGATACATAATCATCTTGCAGACTGTCTCCTCCTTGTCTTTGTAAGTCCTCAGCCCATTGTCTTACTTCTGAGTTTAGAATTATTTGATTTGAACACTTTTTATCCATGGATGAAGGCTTTCCAATGAGACAATTAACACGAGGATCAATGCCTTTTATCCTGTATGATGCTATGCAAACAGAAGAAATAAAGAACACACAAAAAGAAATGAATTAGTTTACATAATAAAGAAATTTAATAATAATATCTACCTAAATATCTTTATTTAAACATGCTTTTTCATAATAATTTAAATAATTTAAATTTACATGTAATTTAATCAGTAATAAATAAATAAATTAAAAGGAAAGTTAGAATTCATTTTTCCTGTGTGTACACCTATTTTGGATAAAATTTTGGCATGGCTTCAGATTGGAAGAGTTTCTAGGGTTTATTATATGTAAGGTTTCAGATCTAAGAATAAAGGTACCCGAATTGTCCTTGTTAGTGCCCCCTTGGGTTGCTAACCCTCAATCCTAGTCCATCACAGACTAAAGTGAATCGAGTTCAATTCGAGGGGATACATTTCTCTATGCCTGACACGGAGAATAAATTCTCACGAAGACATAGAGCATATGAACCCCGAAAGTTACTTGCTAGGTCTGACACGGAGAATAAATTCTCACGAAGACGTCGCTTTCACTCCCACTTAAAAGGGACAAACTCAATTATAGAGCTTTATGTTATGCAATGCAAGTGTTGTGTGTGAGGAGAAATGTTCAAACCTTTGACAGAAAAAATAAATAATGAAATAAAATATTTGCAAATAAATTGAAATATTAATAAGAAAATATATAAATACTATGAAAATAATAAGTACATAAAAAAATTTGAAAAGAAAGAATTATAAATTAAATATATGAATTTTTAATTTTCTAATTGATAGAGACAATTAATAATTGGTTTTAAAGTTTGACCAATCCCCAGCGGAGTCGCCAAGCTGTCGTAACCGGTTTTCGTCCGGGCACGAAATATTTATTTGGCGAGAAAATTGATGTGAATAAATGGTTTTGAAAATAATTTGGGAGTCGCCATCGGCCTTTTGGGTCAGGTGGGTCGAATACCTAAAAATTATCTTTTAACAGAGTTTTTAAGAAAACATCAGTTAAAAGATGAACTGATCTGCGTTTATAACCAAAAATTCTTTCTTTTTAATAATAAAAAGGGATTCGTGGTCGGTTACGTTTAGGGAATGATTAGCACCCCTACAACGCCCAAAATTGGTACTTTTTAATTATAAATTGTCTCTTTTATTAAAAATTTAAAAATTCAAAATATATATTTAATTTATAATCCTATTATTTCTAAATTATAATTATATATAAAAAATATTTATTTATTTAAAAATATCAGAAAAGGACTTCTAGGTACCTTAAGACAGCTCTTTTCTTCGATATATAATAATTAAATTTTTTTATAATATTTAATTTTAAAATACCAGAATAGGACATCCAGTTGTATTAAGACTGCCCTTTTCTTTGATATTGAAAAATAAATAAATAAATATTAAAATAATTTATATATAAAAAATATAAAATATTATTTATTATAAATATATATATATGACTATGTAATAAAAATATATTTAAATATATTAACAAGTAAAATTAAAACAATAAAAGTACAATTATATATTTAAAAGCAGTAAAATAAATGAAAATATTTAAAATTAGTGACTAAATTATAATAAAATTAAAATTAAATACTTAATCCTAATTAATTATTTAAAATTATAGGGATTAATCATGCTATTTTCCTTATTTATTAATTTAGTGACTAAAATAAAATTATATAAAATTTGAATATCAGATTAAAATAAATTAAAAATATATACTCAGGATTAAAATATTTATTTATTAAAATTAAAGGACTAAATCTGTTATTTACCCTAAATATATTATTTTAATATAAAAGACTAAAATAAATAAAATTAAAATTAAAGAACCGAATTAAAAGGATTATAAATTTGATTTAGTGACTAAAATGTAAAGATTACAAGTTATGATGGTTGCGGACGGGATTTAACAATTAAAAATTACACAAATAGCCCTCCCCGAAACGACGTCGTTCGGGAAGGGCTATTTAAGCCCGAAACCGGCTGGCCCTTCGGGCCAGCTCTCTCATTTCTCCCTTTATCATTCTCTCTCTAACTGAGAGAGAATGAAAACGCTCTCCCTTCTCTCTAGCTTCCCTCATCGGAGGGAATGCCGGTCACCGAGCGACAGCCGTCTGCCACCGTAGTTCCCACCGTCGGCCACTGCATCCAATGGTCGGAAAAATTTATTTTTACACCACAACGTAGATCGGACCGTCCTAATGACGGTTCCGGTGCTCTTTTCTCCTAAATAGCTCCCGATCGGAGCAAATCTAAGAAAGTACCTTCGATTTTTGAAGGTTTTGGTGACGTTTGAAAAGGTCCGGTGGTCGTGGCTTCCTCGGTAAGCTTCTCTCCTTTCCTTTCTTTTTTTTTTTTCTATTTTTGCTGGTTGTTGTGTTGTTTCTGGTTGTTCTATCTTTGCAGGTTGGGTGATGGCTTTATAGCCATCATCGGCGCTTGTCTCGGACCGGTCCGAAGGGTGGAGTTCGGTGAGTCACCGAGCTATAGTGGTGACTCACTCTAGACTTCAACGTGTGCGGTTGCTCTGAGTCTTCTGGAGTCTTCATCGGAGGCGTGGCACTGGTGGAGCGTCGGCAATGGTGTTGGCAGCAGAAGAGGCGCCGCGTGGCCTTCTGGAAGCTACGGCGGCGGCTGGGACGTGTCCCTAGGGTATCATCACCCTAGGGTTTCCTGTTGGAACCATCTGGACCGTTGGATCTAAGTTAGATCCAACGGCTGAGAAGCAAGGCGGCGGCTGGCTGAGATACAAACCCTAACTGGGTTTAGGGTTTTTGCTTTGGCTTCTGGATCTGGGCCACCAATTTTGGGTCACTGTTGGGCCATCTGGGCTTCGGGCTATTGGGCTTTGGGTTTGTAAAATGTAATTTGGGCATGTAATAATATTTATTAATAATAAAATAATAATAATTATAATTATAATAATAATAATAATAATATAAATAATATTAAAATGAAAAAATGAGTATCTTCAATTACCATTTCGAATCCTTTGCACTGCTCAATACTCTGTAGAAGAAAAGGAGCCGCCCCTCCCTCTCTCCGCCTCCAAATGGGAACCTTTTCGCAAGAAGAAGGTCGTCATGAGGGTCGGCTACGTCGGTACCGGCTACAGAGGTCCTTATTCGCCCTTCCCTTCACTTTTTATCATTATATAAACATAACCCAATCATTGAAATTTGTTTTCAATCTGTTCCCAATTCATCATTGACACTGTATTTTCTTTTTTCTTGTCTTTTACAGGTCTTCAGTTGCAGCGAGATGAACACGAACTATCTAGTAAGCTGCTCTTCCCCCTTTTTTTCTCCTTTTCCTCATTGGTTGGAATTAAATATATCTGTTTTCTTTTAAAAATATTGTCTAATTTCTTCTTTTCGGATAGCTTGAAAAAAAGGGTTTTTTTTTAAGTTTGGAAATTAACTAGAATGAGGTCTGGAACATACTAAAGATTGCAATGATGTAATGTAGCTATTGAAAAAGAACTGGAAACTGCAATTTTCAAGGCTGGAGGAATCCGTGACAGAAACTACGAGAATCTGCACTATATTGCCTGGGCCAGAAGCAGCCGAACCGATAAAAGTTTTTCGTTAGCAATTTGCATATGATTGATTTGAGGTTGCTGGCGCTGAAACTTGTATTGTCTATGGATATTTTAAGTTCACTCTTTGGCAACAATGATCTCCTTTGATACATGCATCACAAAGGCTGAGGAAGAAATAATAATTTTTCCAAATGATTCATTCATCCAAGTCTTGGAAAAGAAGACCAGAACAGCAGCAGACTTGCGACGAATTTTTGAATGGGATTCTGATCTTATTTGATCAACATGTCTTTTGTATATACAACCGTTTGTCTCTTATCTTTCCAACAGTTCTTGAATCGCATCAATCTGATATTGGAAACTCAAGATACGTTCATTTTAGTAAAGACACCGCATGCATAAATTCATATATGAGACTAATACGTGATTTTATAAATATTACGAATTTTCAATATTTATATTGATTATTTGTAATATAATTTAATATAGGATGATACATTATATTTTAAGATTAGATTTATTATTTTATTAGGAATTAATGTTAAGTTAAAACATTATTTTTAGTTATTATTATTTTATTAGGAATTAGAGTTAAAACATGTTTAGTTTGTTATTATTTTATTCATTAGTTATTTAGGATCTTTGAAACCCATCCGCTATATAAAGGAGACTTCATTAAACTTTCTAAATCAGAATTCCTTGATTAATAATACAACGAGAGTTCTTTTTGCAAGTAATGATTGTCTTGTGCCTTCGAAGCTTATTCTTCTGGAGTTCTTTCAAGTTCTTGTGAGTGAGATTAATCTTCACACTCCAATTTGTATTTTCATCGCGACTAGGAGGGTTGGTTAGAGCCATATTATCGAGTTTGTCTTTTCATTGCGACTAGGAGGGTTCGATAGGACTCTTAGAGCCATATTATCGAGTTTTCCTTTTCATTGCGACTAGGAGGGGTTCGATAGGATACTTATCCATCTATTTTTCACAAATCCATCCTCACCATCATCATCTTTACCGTTCACCTTCATAAGGGAACCACCTTATACTATTCATCTCCCTTTTGTTCTTCATCGAGTCTAGAGCTTTCTAGGTTTGATCCTTCAACAAGAGCAACGTTCATTAACCCGTCACCGCTTCCCTATCAATTGGTATCAGATTTGGGTCGATTCTTGGAAAGAATCAAGCAATCTTGCTTGTTCTTGCACACAAAATTGTCAAGGTACCCCAACGGAGCTAGTTCACAAAATATTCATCGTTTCATGTTCTTTTTATTTAATTTTAATTTAGATTCAAATCATTCTTTTAGTTTGATATTTAAAAAAAATTATAAAGCCAAAAAAAAGTCATAAAAAATTGAAAAATTGCAAACGAATTTATTTAGAGCTAATTTTATACATATCTCATATTCATCCTAAGAGTAATCTTCAGTCCAAAATTCACCCCAATTGGAGTTCATTAGAGCCTTCAAATACATCGTTCAAGTTTCATCGGCAAATTCGGTCTAGAATCTTGTCGAATTTCTTGAAAATTATACAGGAGGAATTTCGTGGTGAAATTTCCAGATTGAAACTAAATATATTGAAGATCATTAACACAAAAATCAGAATTTTGGAAGATCAATAACACCTTCGAACAAAGCAATCACGAAAAACAAATTGTTTGAGGACTCACCGTTCAACACAGTTTATTGGATACTACTGAAGATATTTGGTTCTAAAAATTTATATTCTACATACATCTAACAACAATCAAGAATTTTTCCAAAATTTTTGGACATCAGTAACCCCCTCAAAAACGTTGCTCAAGTTGACCTAGTTTTTTCTAGGTTTCTGGTTTGGTTTTTTTTTTCTTTGACTCTTAGTGCTTTAGGTTCTTTTGTTTTTCCTTTTTATTGTTCTTTTGCAATAGCTAACACATTATCTTTCTTGTGTTAGTAGGACTAAAGAGTTTGCACACTTCTTCCTTCTTTGCATTCTCGTTCTCTTGGAGTCTAAACCTTGTTTGGTCTCTTAGAGCTTTTAGGTTTTCTTATCGCCTTTGCTAATAATCAAACTCCGATACGAAATGTGGAAGACTATTTGGTAAAGTGAGTTTTAAAGAGTACAAGATCGATTTACTTGCCTTTTATTGTGTTACTTTCTTGGAGTGACTTGTGAGGTTTCTTTCTTTGTTGAATTTTCTTTCTTTTATTTTTATTTTACTTTAAATATTTCGTTAAGTGTTGTGATTTTCAGGATGTTTGAACCAGGACAATTTTTTAGATCTAATTGTATGGTTATATGTCGGTTTTTAAGCACTGAAGATACGAAATAAGCTGATATTCAAAGAACAAACTTATTCCATTCCCAATATTTGATACAAGGTAAACCTTACTCCATAATCATTGATAATGGAAGTTGTGCAAACATGATGAGTAGCTACTTGGTAGAGGCACTGAACCTACCTTGTCAACAACATCCAAAACCATATTGTTCGCAATGGATTAATAAAGAGTCTGAGATGAAAGTCACCAAACAATGCCTAGTCAAACTACAGATCGGCAAGTATTGTGATGAAATTTGGTGTGACGTGATTCCAATGCAAGCTTCTCGCGTCCTTCTGGGAAGATCATGAAAATACGACAATGATGTTACCTACTATAGTAAGGCGAACAAATACACTTTGAACCTAAATGGTAAACCTTACACTCTTAGGCCAAAGCCACCAAAAGAAATCCTGAAAGATCAAATGAGAATTTGTGAGGAGGTAGGGAAAGCAAAAAAAATAAAAAGTTGAGAAAGAGGGCAAAAGCAAAAGAGGTCATTAATTACAAAATCCAAAAGATGTTTCGTCACGAAACATGATGAAAAAGTGAAAGCAACATGGGACTGGCCCATACCATCTTCAATCACCAAGAGTTGTTAAATAGTACTAGGTGACCCTGAGTTACCACCTGAAAGCCCTAATCAATATATCATATCAATAAAGAGTCACAAGACTCTTGAAGTTGTCATCCATACTAAACACAACTCCTTTAAGTGAGTAAAAGACCTAGGTAAGCAAAACACAGTAGACGATTCACTACCACGAAGGTTTTGCAGTCCAAAAATCTCTTCCCGAGAATTCTTAATTCATAAACCACACTTAGGAGACTTAAGGGATTACTTTCACAAATCAGTTGACATGGTTTTTCAACACTCATTCTCGCCACACACGAGTCAAACCATGGAGAGAATATATGAAGCAATCATAAGGAAAGCCAACAGTAGCCGACTCTATGTTCAATTTCAACCTAAACATGTAATACCCCAATTTAGGGGCTAAAATTAAGAAATTATAAAGTGGTGGATTTAATTTGGTATTTTGAAAGAAACAGTGGGTTAAATTGCAAAATTTTAAAGTTGGCAGACCGTTTTATGAAGTGCAGGAAGTTCAGTGGCTAAACTCTTGGTTTAACCATTTTTAATTATGAGATGTTATAAACCCATAATTTCCCGTATATTTCTGGAAATTTTTCCAGTTTTTCCTCTCCCGTCAACCCCTCTTTCAACTCCGATCAACTCATCGTCCGACCTCCAATCGACGAGCCGAAACCACCATCGTGTTCGTTGTCAACCGAGGAACAAAACCCCTCAAACCTTTCGTCGTGAATCGTCTCCGTTTGTCGTTAATTTCAGTCGGAAGTATCGTCGGTAATAACTCAATTTCAATTGGTTTTTCATCGATTCAAGACGATCCGAGCATCCGTTTACGACACCTCCCGCACCATCGTGTTACTTGCATCGTTCCGAGTCCACCTGTGTCATCCTTGGTCTCCGTCGACGGCGGCACGTGAGGAGGTGAAGCGGTTAAAGTTTCCGATTTGTTGAAATCGAGCTCTCCACCGTTTAAAATTGTGAATCGAGCTTTATAAGTATCTCGAAATCGCTTAAATAATTTTTAGGAATTTTTTCGGGAATTTAGCACTGTTCACGTGCCCCCATGCGCCGCCACTGCGCTTGGGGAAGGAAAAAGTGACCAGTTTGACCGGTTTTGGAACTGTTTTAACCGGTTTGACCGATCACAACCAGACCTGACCCGTTGACCGACGTTGACCACTGTTGACCAAAACTTTGACCGGCTTTGACCGGGCATTAAACGACTTTTGACTTTGACCGAGTATACCTATCCTGACATTTTTCGACGTTCCAAATCCGATTCCGCAGTCCGTTTTTCAAAATTCAGACCCGAAGGCCTCGAAATTGGCAGTCAACCCCGTTGACTTTGATTTTGACCGAAAATTCCAAATTTCCGAAAAGTCATATTTTATGCTTTCGACGTCCTGAATCCGAAGTCCGTTTCACCAAATTCGAACCCGATAAGCTATTTTTATCTGATTTATCATCCGATTCGATCCGTTTATCGCAATTAAGCTCCGTTTCTGATATAATTTATGTTGATATGTATCTGAGGAATTATTGGAAGTTGAATTGAAGATCAAAGGCGTTCGAATGGAATTTTTATGGTCGATCAATATTTGCACGAAAATTGAGGTAATACTTTACTACCTCTTTATGCTTTATAGAATATTGTTTATATTGATAAATGCATGAACAATATAATGTTGGTCACTTTGGTTGAGTTGAATAATTTATACACTCGATATGATGTGGTAGAAATTTTGTAACTAATTACGGATCGAATGACTAATATAAGAGATTGAGGAATTGTTATATTAAATTACAAGTTTGTGATTAGTGATAAAGAAATCAACCATGTATCTGCAACTTATAATTTATTTTATCAAAGGTTAAATGTTAAAGGTACTTGGATGAAAAATTATGAGAATACTCCGGTAGGGTAAAATTACAAAAATACCCTTATGTTATAAAAAGACAAGATTTGAATATGGAAGTTAGATAAGAGGATTTTACAGACATATTGATCTGATAAAAATAATGATGTGCATAAGAAATGCTAGTTTTGCTTAGGAAATGATGATAACTGGTTTTTAGTCTTATGAGGGTTTGTGAAGGATA